AGTTCTGGGGTGGCCACATCTTCTTTAGTGAGGTAAGACATATATCCTTCATGTGAAATTGGAGGTGCTCAAGAGATTGATGAAAAATCGCCATACAATCTTCTAGTACTGGAATACCTTGCTCATCAGTGAGTTTGTTAATGTTTTTAACCCCTAAGTCAGTTTCGCCGATGGCCATAAGGAGGACGCCGTAAATGTACCTTCCTCGGAGGTGACCACCATTTGAGGCAATGTGGATGTGATGTAGATCTAGGGACTGATTTCGAGTTTCGAAGAATTCTAGCATGCCTTTAACATAGTGAGCGTCAACATTGTTCGCGTTGAGGCAGTTTTGCACCAACTTTTGTTACCGATGAGCTAGAGCAAGCCTCTTCACCAAAGGTGAGAGGTTGAGATCCTTTGCAACAAAGAAGTTCTCAGAACTGAAACTGAGGATTTTGGATGTCATAATTGTGTTGAAGTAGTCGGTGGGGGGGGGGGGGTCATAGCCTACTTTGGAAACAATTATGAGATGCATGAATTCAAGGGTGAGGGTATTATGTTGTTTTCGATTCATAAAACTCATCGGAAAATGATCGAGGTTTTTTTTTTATTCTAACGCTGTCCTTATTAGTTTATTTGTGTTTTGTACTTGTTTATATAGGACGTTGGACACGGTGTTGATTGTAACGTCGTTTACATTTTTAAATATAATTATTGGAAGCCATAACTTTGCGTTAAATTTCTTTGCGGTTTGATTGTTATTATTTATGTTGTACCGTTGCATGTATGCTGAGTGGTTTGATGGTAATTTATGGTTATTAAAAATTAACCAACCGGAGTTCCTTATGATTTTGCTTGGTTTTAATACTTATAATATAATTTGAAAGGTATTTTATATGTGGGTATCGAATAAACCTTTTTTTGTTTGCTTGACATTAGATAAGTTTGTATTTGTTGCAAACGCTATAAATTTGTGGAATAATTTTAAAATTATTTTGAGGGTTTGATTTACCTTTTTAGGTATTTATTATTATTATCTGAAATATCTAAATAGATATGTCTGTAACGTGTCATTGGACGCAAAAAAAACTTTAAATTGCTTTAATTTTGGTATTATAGATGATTTATGCCATTATTTGCTATGTTTCCATTTTAACAACAAAAACTTAAAAAAAAAATTTGGGCCTCTATCACACAAAATAGCAGCCCAACAACAACCACAAAACCGACAAACAGAAAACCAATTGAAACCGAAACGGGAGAGATAAATTTTGTTTGGTATATTTGGTTTAGGTTATTGCTAACATGGCTTTTTTTTCCCCCCCCCTCACAAATGCTGATGTGGATGCATGAGAAGGGAGAGAAACCTACTTTATTGTATAAGATATAAGATTTGAAAACCCAGATAAGATGAACTTCTTTTTATATGACAATTAAAAGCATTAGATATTTTACTTCCAAATGTCATTATGTGAATAGCTTAATTTAAAAGATAAAGTTATATATTTAACAAAATCACATTACAATACTAATACAAAATCTGTGAGATATTATGAGGTTCTTTAAGATTGAAAAAGAAGAGATCAAATAACATTTTTGTAGCAAATAAAAACATAAGATGAGATCATAGAGTACCCTATATATAAAAGCTGTGCCTGAAGAATATATGTGGCAAATGAAGATGGGTGACAACAGGAAGATCGAAGGATAAGTAGACTCGATCAGCAACTTACCAGATGAGATCCTCCAACAACACATACTATGCTTTATTCCAATTAAAATATCGATCAGCACATCCCTTTTGTCTAGACGATGGAGGCATGTATGGTGTGAGGTACCTTATATCTCCTTAGATGTGGATACACTGACTGCAGCTTCGGTAAACGAAACCCTAACTCGCTACACAGCTCCCAAGACGAAGAGTTTTCACCTCAAAATAAAACCCACTACAGAGACCAAACCATACATCGACAGGTGGATCAAGTGGACTATGTCACACAACGTTGAGAGTCTGTCCCTCTATTTATGTAATTCTGATTTTAAGTATGTGTTTCCTAATTTATTTTGGAACAGCTCTTCTGTCAAGCAATTCAACATTAATTTAGGATTTTCGCCTATGATTGTTCCTGAATGCACTATCTCTTGGACATCCTTGCAGAAGTTATCATTGACTTGTTGTAGTATCTCTACTGGATCCATGGCTAAGATTCTATCCGGTTGTCCGGTTCTTGAGAACTTAACCTTGGATTACTGGGATGAACTAAATGTTCTTGATCTCAGCAAATCCCTACGTCTGAGAACATTAGAACAAAGCAACGAGTGGTCTCCGGTGCGAAGGCAGATTGTGGCACCACATATCCATTGTCTCAGTTTGTATGACTCAGAGTTATCATGTACTTTGGTTGATGTCTCTTCTTTGGCCGAAGCTAATCTGGAAATTTCTTATGTCCAAGACTGCAACAGCTACATTACTTTTCTCCAAGCAAAGGGGCTAAAGATGCTAAAGAAGTTACATAATGTAGAGAAGCTTACGTTTGGGGGAAATTTTATTCAGGTATATATATATATGGGTTCTTAACTCATATTATTTTACTCTCTAAAGCCTAAAAAGCAGTTGGTTGCACGGTCAACTTCTTTAATTATATGGATTAGTGTTCATGAGAAGTTGAATTTATATAGTTGTAAGAACGTTTGAATAATCTATTTGTGATAAGCTAGGTACTAATTAATATAGATTCATTCTTTTAGCTTTTATCTCTTGCTGAGATTCGTGGTCTTGTCCCGATACACTGTGGTGGTGTTCCTTTCCCGATACTCAAAGTCAAAGCATTGACTCTTGATATAAAGATGTGTCAGTATGTTATTCCTGGCATAGAAAGACTGTTACAAATCTCACCTGATTTAGAGACGCTAACAGTACGTGGAAGGACTAACTTCCAAGTACCGGTATATTCACCATTAACCTCTCTTTTTTTAGCTATATATATCATCATGATCTGAGTTCGAATGCATCCATGAACCACTTTTGTATTTTATACAGGAGGAGTTTGCTGGCAACTACTTGAAATCACAAGGCTTTAACGTGAGCAAATGCTGGAGATCAAAAGATGGAGCCTCTTGGAACAAGTATTGTGAGGATTTGAAAGCTGAGCATGTGTCTTCATTAGTGGAACTTGTGCTTAAAAACACAGAGAAACTAAACAAGATGGTCGTATTGTTGGATGAACGTTACCTTAATTTTAAAATTGAAGACGTGGTGATTCCAACACTTCGTAACAACAAAAATGTCAGCGTTGTGCTCTCCAATACCAAGTTGATGGCATTAGAGAAGTGGTGAAATGAATCACAGGGGTTGAAGTCTTGAGTTTTCTTGAACGTTTGTTTATTTAAATAACTGGTGTACTTTATTTGATATTTTGAATCACAGGGGTTGAAGTCTTGAGTCCTGACTGAAATACTTTTTCACGACAATAACAATGTCACACCATTGTGTTCTCTTCCACCATTGAGAGACTGTTATAGCTAAAAATATGTTTTCGATCGCAACTTCTTCTTCTTCTTCTTCCCCACTCATCAATTCAAGCTTCAATTCTCAAAATTCGCCGAAACCGCTTATCCCCATCATGTCCGCGTCCTCTGGGTTCAAAACCCTAACTGAGAATTTCACAGTAAAGGTTCAAAGAGCAGAGAACCGCGAACTCAACGTCCCCCTGCTCTCCCCCTTCACCATCGCTTCGTCACGCCTCGACTCCGTCGGAAACGTCGCGATCCGAATCGAGCTCACCGGCGGTTGCGTCGGCTGGGGAGAAGCTCCGATTCTACCGTCCGTGACGGCGGAGGATCAGATAACAGCCATGGAAAAAGCGCGGGAAGCTTGCAAGGTTCTCAAAGAGTTACCGGAGATGAAATTAGGTCACGTTCTTGAGGAGATCGGTGGGATTCTACCTGGGCATCGATTTGCATCTGTAAAGTCTCAAGCTTTTAGCTTTAAAGTATATACCTTTATTTCTTTCTTTGTTGTGAATGTAATTGATGTTAATGGATGTGAAGGTGAGAGCTGGGGTTGAGATGGCTATGATTGATGCTGCTGCTAAGAGCGTTGGAGTTCCCTTGTGGAAACTATTTGGTGGGGCTTCGAATACAATCACCACCGATATTACAGTTTGGTTCTAACTCTTCTTGGTACAGTTTTCCCTTCATTTTGTTGTGTGTGTTTGATGATGGAACTTGAGATTCTTTCTAGACTGTAAAGGAACATTATTCATGTATAAAGATTTGTCGTATAGTTTTCAACAATGTTCTAAAAATCGCTAGGCGGTTGTTAGGCGTCTTATAGAGGATTATTCATTATTGTTTATGCGCCGATTTTTCTAAAATATTGATTTGAAAAAATAGTTACGCTCATAGGCGCCTCCTAGACCGATTTTTAGAACACACTTTTTGTAGATGTGGATTTTGAATGATCTTTTTGTGTTCAGATTCCGATAGTTTCTCCAGCTGAAGCTTCAAAGTTGGCTGCAAAGTACAGAGAAGAAGGGTTTAAAACCTTGAAGCTCAAGGTTGGGAAGAATCTTAAGGCTGATGTTGAAGTTCTCCAGGCTATACGTGAAGTCCATCCTACGTGTTCCTTCATTTTAGACGCAAATGAGGGTTATAAAACAGAGGAAGCTGTTGAAGTTCTCGAAAAGCTTCATCGTAAAACATAACTTTTAATCATTTAGCTGAGCTTTCTTTCCTCGGTCGTAATCTGAAGTGTTTGTGATTGTTTTTTGCTCAGAAATGAAGGTTACGCCGGTTCTCTTTGAACAGCCTGTCCATAGAGACAATTGGGAAGGTCTCAGACATGTGACTCGAGTTGCAAAGGAGAGATTTGGAGTCTCTGTTGCAGCAGACGAGAGTTGTAGAGACTTGACTGATCTCAAGAGAATCATAAAAGATGATACGGTAGATGTTGTTAACATCAAACTCGCTAAAAGTGGTATCCTCGAGGCCCTTGAGGTGATTGAATTGGCTAGAGCATCTGGAATTGAGCTTATGATTGGGGGAATGGTGGAGACTAGACTAGCAATGGGGTTCTCTGGTCACCTTGCTGCTGGCACTGGTTGTTTCAGGTACTGAACCTCGGTCCTTTTTAATCCGAATGTCAAAAAACTAACAAGTTTAGAGGTTATATGCAGATTCATCGACTTGGACACTCCACTTCTTCTAGCTAGTGATCCTGTACAAGGTGGCTACAAAGGTAATAATACTCTCTGTTGTTTTGATCTTGCATCTTGTCCTGTTAAAAGTATGCCTGGCTTGTATCCTTATCTTCTTTGCGACCTGTCCGAACTATTGTTCAAACATAACTCCTAATGAACTCGTCTTATTTCAATTGAGAATCGAGATTCAAAGTCTAATCCTGGTGGTTTTTGTTGGCAGCTTCGGGTGCTGTCTATGAGTTTACAGATGAAGGCGGTCACGGAGGATATCTTCAGTGAATGAACTTGCTTTGTGAATCTACTTAGGTCCTTTTTATGTTAGTTCATAGTAAGCAAGTCTCAAGTGTTATGTTGGCTTTTGTGCTTAAGAAAAGCATTACACCTTGTCATTTCCAGTTTTCCTTAAATAAGTGAATGTAACTTACAAGTGTTGTAACATGTGGTCCAAATAAATGACATTCATCGCATTGAACTGATTGGTTTGTTTCTGAAACACACACAACAAGCAGTCAAATTCACAAGCGAATAGGTTATTGGGCCATTACAGTTTCAGAGTTATTCATTGTTTGTTACCAACCATTTACATAGTGTATTGAAGTCTCTCTTCTTTAGTCAACAATTTATTGTAGTCACTTACAAAATTCATCATTATGTAAATAGAAATTAACAAATCTGCATATTGGAATTGGAAATGAAATAGTGAAAATTTTCCAAGAGAAAAAAAAAAGTCAAAATGAAATGCTTATCTAGCGGAGAAAAAAAGAGTCAACAGTGGTAGTAGGTGTGGTGGACTGGTGGTGACCGGTGAGGTGTGGAAGTCTCAATAAATGTATATATCTGGTAAAGGTCCAATTTACATAACTATAAAAAAGTTAGCAGTAGATAAATCTACAATTATTTATATAAACTATTTTGATAAGTTGTTTGAATAAGCTAAGAGAAATACAAATTATTTTAACAAATGATTATAAAAGATTTTTCTCATCTTTAATCTCCAACATGCATGATCGGAGTATACAATATAAGAGGAGCAATAATAACAACGCAAATTGTGACACTACTCACTAGGCGTGAGAATCATAAAGTTCATATCACGATCGATGCTTTGGACCCACACTTTCTAGTACTCATTAAAATAATCATGGTAACATCAAAATTCAAAGTCGAAGACACATGTTTGTATGAGCTACAACTTCAACAACCAATGTATGAACATGTTATTAGTGATCAGCTACACCTACACTACACACCAAACTTTTGCATGTTCTCCCTCCAAAAGTGTTTGGGATCTTGTACCAAAAAAAAGTGTAAAAAAGAATGTTTTGGGTCATGATGATATACGCTCTTGCTTCTTTTTTCATGCTACATTAATGATCTTTCTCCAACGAGTGTACACTTTAGCTATTTATCTTCGAGTTATGTAGAGTAGACCTTCATGAAATGTTTTGACAAGATCTAGCTACCCTGGAATGTGCAACAAGTGCTACGCTAAAGAGAATACGATATGTTCATTAAATTACTAGAATTGCGCCAAAAGAAAGAAAACTACACAAAGACGAAGTAACAATGAGTGATTGTGGCAATGATTATTCACACGTATCCCCAGACGCACGCTTATTCTCAAGATCATCATATTGCATATGAAAACTAATTGATTATTGTTCTTATTAACATATGGAATTAGTTATGATCATATATAAATATACAAATACATTTCTCCATCATATAGTATCATCACAGTGTGTGTTAGGTTGATAGAAGTAATAATGACGATAAAGGAACCGGCAACAAATATTGGGACGACACAAGTACCATCACCGAAAGTCCTCTTCGCCTCCTTTCGCCTCCCAAGTCCACACTTCGACCCCACTTTCCATTTGTTTTATGTTTTGCTTCTTCAGTTCATCCATAAGTCCACATAGTGTTACAAAAAAAAAAAAAAAAAAAACCATAAGTCCATATAACAAGTTATGGTGTTATATTTATCGTATAATAAGCTATGATCCTGTGTGTCGTATTTCATGTGTGTTTGATTGTGAAAACACCGTTATACTTACTCTCATTAGTCAGTTGTTTTTCTTCGGTCGACAATCTAAATGTAGAGATATATATAGTAAATAAATTAATATGCATATTAATAGAATCTCTAACATCACTCCATAAGTTATTTCAAAATGGAGTTTGAAGTATAAAATGCTTCAATTTCACTTAATTTTTCATTTCATAATGGAGTAAACATATGTTTACTCTATAAGTGGAGTAATCTTCTTTTATTTTTTTGTTCCTTATTTCATTTTTCACTTATTTCATTTCACTTTTTTTTTTTGTTCCTTATTTCATTTTTCACTTTAAAATGGAATAGGATTGTATTAAAATTCAACTCTGTTATAGAATTATCCATTTTGAATGAAAAAATAGAGTTTCACATTAGAATGCTCTAAATGTTGATTTATAAGTTTCTAAATGCATCTTTCCCCACTTTATAGTGCTACTTTTCCACTTAGAATTAATATAGGAAAGTATCATTTGATAATTTGAATACTTTTCCTCAATTTTAGCCATTAATCTTTGATTGTTTAATTCTTCCTAAAGTCAACTGAGCAGCCAAAAACCCACAAACCAAGAATGTTTATACTTTTCTTCTCATATGCTCTGTTATAGCTCAGTTATTATGATTCACAACTCGCATTCAAACTAGCTGGAATAATATCAATTCTCAGAAAATTATTAACCAACGAATCTGTTTGTCTGAAACACACATATAACACAACACGTTAGAACCTTAAACCTAACGATCTTAAGTTGTTCTAAAAAAGGATATTAAGTTTTTTTGATCAACCACTTGACGACAGAAACTACTAGATTATATACATTATATTAATCAGTCCATTGCTAAACTAAAATGATAAGACGCCGCACTATAAGCAAGCGCACTAATAGATTAATATTTGGAATATGATTTTCCTTCCATTTTTCTTAATGAAAGTTTATATATAAAAATACTTACAAAGTAGAAAAAATGTAAGAAAAGAGCTTCACTTTCCGTCTATAAATAGGAAGAGGTTCACATACCAAAAACCATAACACACTTCTATAAGCTCTCAAGTCTTAAACGAAACAAAAGAAGAAAAATGGTGATGATCAAGGCTTCATGGGTGTCCATTTTCGCCATCGCGGCAGTTCTCCTAGTGATCCTAGCCCCAGCGGCAGAAGCGGTGACGTGCTCGCCAATGCAGCTAAGCCCATGTGCGGCGGCCATAACGTCGTCCTCTCCACCTTCAGCGTTGTGCTGCGCGAAGCTGAAGGAGCAGAAGCCATGCCTCTGTGGGTACATGAGAAACCCTAGCCTCCGTCGCTTCGTCAGCTCCCCCAACGCTCGTAAAGTCTCTAACCGCTGCAAGCTCGCCATCCCAAGGTGTTGAAAACTCTAAAAAGCCAAAAACGCGTTTGCTATTTGCAGCATCCTCCATACGTTTGAATCCTACTTTTGTTGTGTGTCTAAGAATGTTCATTATGATCATGAAGTAGTAGTTTAAGTAAGTGTTACCCTTAAGAATAACAATGTGTGATGATGCTTGTATGCATCTTGTTTCAACTTTTGTTTTTGCTGTCTTATTCTGGTCTATTATCAATGTAGAGACGTGTAATCATTGATATAAGAACAAAAATATATTTCATAAACACACAAAAGAATAAGATTATGGGTACATGAAAATCACGGGACAAGAACACACCATTTTGTTTGGTCAGAGACCCAAACTCCAACTAGTATCATCATAAGAGCAAATCTGGGACTTCGACTGGTTTTGTTACACTTGCTTCTTCGTCTCTTTGTCGTCGTGATCTATTCTTACTACTCTCACCATTTTTCTTCTTCTTCTCCTTCTTCTTCTTCTTATTCTCTCTTCTCGAGCTCTGTTCGGTGTTCTCTGTATCAAGATGTATCTCGTGGTTGTCTTTTTCACTTTCCTTCTCCTTGCCTTTCCCCATAAGAGCGGTTTGGATCGCACGTGACAAAGGCTCACCGTTACTACTACTACTAGCGTCTGGCTTTGTCTTTGGTTCATCTCCTTCGTCCAGTTTCACCACTACAGGTCTTGGTTTTGATATCTTTTTCTTGGGTTTAAACGAGTCCACAGATATCTCATTCGCTGGTGGGTATTCGTTTGATGTGTTATTATCGTTGCCATCTCCATCATTGTGGTCGTCGGCTTTCTGAGAGGAGAGATAGTAAAGGCCATGGCGTTTTCTGTGTTCTGCGAGTAAGGATGAAGATTCCAGCGGAGGAGGTAAAGACGATGAGGCTTCTTCTTGATCTCTGATTCTGAGTTTAGCAACAGAGAAGCTGACTTTGTCTGAGGAGTAGAAAGAAGATGAGTTTGATTCGGCGATTGGTTCCAGAACTTCTCTGCAAATCTCTTGGAGACCTTCAAGATTCTCGTTAAGCTCTAACCCCTCTGGTAGAGGAACTTTTTCCTGTGCAGTTGAAGAAACAGGGCCAAGCTCTTCTGAGAAGACATCTTCCATGAATGCTATAGCTTTACGAGCTTCTGTTTCAGTGTCTTGGGAGGTTGCTTTCTCAGCCATTTCATGCTTTATCATACCAATGAAGCCTAGAACGCTCTTAGCTCTCTCCTGCACTTCCACGTCAATGGTACCGGATAACGAGGTCAATCCCGACTCAATCATATTCACCAAACTCGAGATGGAGCTATATGTGAAACCGTTCACCACTGAAGAGCCAGAGCTAGTAGACTCCTGAGCCAGGGTCGAGGACGTGGGATCCTGGGCTGAGAAGTATACACCGAGACTGAAGACAAGAACTTTGAGAGCTGAATGTATGTAGATTGCTGTAATGGAAGGTGGTAAAAGACAAGTACGTGGTTGCAGAAGCGCCTCGGCAATCTCATAAGGGGCCTTAGAGAACTCGACATATTCCCCTGAAGCCCAAGCAGCTGCGGATAATATCGGGTGTAAGAAGTGATTACCAAGCAACGCAGGATCAATGACCAGCGCTCTAGAAACCCGAACTAGCTCCATTCTAGCATCTTTAACCCTCGTACCGATATCAATCAACTGATACTCAATTTCTTTCCCTCTTTGACAATATGGGACTCTAGCCATTTCACCGAGAAGAGACAAGTACCAATCAAAGTCAACTATGATCTCATACGAATTCCTCGAGCATGCCACTAGAACGGAACCAATAATCTCGTTGCAGAACAAAGGGTCAGACTTTAACGCATAGTTCATAAGAATCCGGGATATCTCCGTCACGTTATCTTCATTCACCATAGCCATTAAAAGATGCAACGCCTCGAGTTTAACATTCGGATCCTCATCGCTCATAGCCTTCACAACAGCTTCCTTGTTCTCCAGAACAGCCCACAAATGCTTTCCAGCAACAATCGTCAAGGCATGAAGACCGAGATACTTAAGATTCGGATCATCATCCACAAGAAACTCCTTAATCTTAACAACCGCAAGCTTCAAAGCTGTCTCCTGATCACTCAAGCTACTAAACACGGTTCTAATACACTCAAACAACAAAGACTTCCCCACATTCTGTTTCCTCATATGTTCACAAATCGGATCAGCCACCTTCTTACCCAACCTAGGCTCAATAAAAGCCAACTTGGAAAATATCTTAAGAACCTTAATCAAAACCCAATTATTCCTCGAATCCACAAGAATCTTGTAAAACTCTGGAGCTAAAGGAAGATAAGATCTTGGATCCTTTCTTGTAAGTTCACAGAACACACCAACCACAGCAGATAAAAGCTGAGGATCAGAACTCTCGAGATTCTCAACGAGACGCTTAAAACAAACCTTAACAGCATCAGGATACTTATCAAACACTCTCAAAACCACACCAATAGCTTTCTTCCTAACCAAACCCTTACTACTACCTAACAACGTAAACACCTCAGAAGTCAAATCCCTAGCTAGATCCTCACTCCCAATCCTAGCCAAACACTCCAAAGCGAGACTCACCTCATACTCATTCGAACTATTCAGATCCTTTCGAATCTGGTTCGTGATCAGAAGCAGAACCGGAGTCTGATCGTTAAACGACTGAGCGATCGCGTGGTAACCGATTCGCTTGTGAGCGAATCGAGACGAGGAAACGACCTCCACGGCGTGGAAAGCCGCCCAGGTCATGTCGACGCCGTGGAGAGCGGCGAGGTAGGAGAGTTTCTGGAGGGCGACGGATTTGGTGGAGAGATCTGTGGCTTTGATCTCGCGGCGGATCTCTTCTAGGGATCTGGAGATGAAATTGGATTCTCCGAGGCGTAGGCCTTTGATTAGATCCTCGAGGCTGCGCTGGAACAAGCTGTCCATGAGGGAGTTTGAAGACGACATTGGAGAGAGTGGATGGGAGCGAGTATGGACTGTGGTGATAGTTGGGATTTTATGATCGGGATCTGAGAAGAGGCATGATCGGAGATAAGTTTCGGAGATCAGATTCGAGAGGGTTTTTCAAGGCGATGATCGCGATTTACACAATCGTGGATCCTCCTGAGAGGGAGTGGAACGAAACAGAGGAGGAAGGAGAAAGTTTTAATGGGCTTTGGAATTACGGCCCAGTTCTCTTTCACCTGAAATAACAGGGCCTAAAGAATAATAAGCTGGTCCATTACTAGGTTTGAAATCAATGGAAACTAGATTTTTGATCTGCCCTTAGTATTTTTGTTATTTTATCTACAAATATATAAAAAAAAATCTTTTATTTTGTGGATATAAAATATTTTATGATCAAAATCAAGTTTCAAT